GCATCAGCAAGATGTCAATGTACAAAAAACGTAACAAAAATCAAGTCAACGGTTGCAAGGTTGGCAGAGTCAACGGTTTCCAAATTTAGTGGTTGATTTAACAATGCAGTCGTTGAGTGCAATAATCACGTGTCAGATTCCAAAAGTCAGCGAGGCAACGCATGAGTTGTTACCTAAAACAACAAAGTTCGCAGTTCCACAATTTAGTGTAAACAATCGTCGAGGGCGATAATCAGGTTGTCAGTTTCCCACGTTAGCGAGGCAACAAGTGAGTTGTTAACTTAAACAGCAAATTTAGCAGTTACACAATTTAACGTCAACCATGAACCAAATAAGCGATAATCCCGATAGCGTTGCCGATTAAGACCAGGTTCAGAACACTAACCTTCGAAGACTGGTCCAGTGCTCTGACGTGACTTAGTTTCAGCTGGGGCGGTTGGAAGGCTATCTCCTCAAAATCGTCATCATCTGCCTGCGAAACAGCGTCTCCAAGAATCGCCAACACGGCTTCGTAGACAACAAATTGCAACGCAACGAACAATCCTTGAACAGCTACATTCGCAGTAGCTAGTTGCGCTAAGTCTCTCTTCTTGATAGAATTCATCATCCGGTCGAATGAGAGTCGTCCCCACGGATATGCGAGAAACTCTTCAAGGTTCTCTGCCATTTTCGCGTGTTCTTTCAATACTTTAATCTTCGGGTAGTGGGTTGTCGGCAGCAGAAACCCATCAACAAGGGCAAGGCATGCATATCTGAGCCTCATCTCACGGTCTCCAAGAGACCTCCTCCTCAAAATTGAAACAACTTTGTCTACCGTCACATTCTCCTCCTGTCCGAATAACTTGCCATAGAACGGTTCTCTCACCGGCTTCGTGTTCTTCCGGCGGGTTCTCTCTTTCCGCGGATACTTTCCACAGCGGAGTCCGGTAACCAGTTTAAACTCCCTCGGCGAGAATCGGATTGTCGACCCGGCGAACAGGATCCGGATCTCGTTGTCACGGCTAACTTCTAACTGACGGGAGAGAAGAAAGAGTCCAAAATCCCCTGACCATGCGGACTTCTCGTGGATCTCCAGCAATTGACCCAGCTGTGACTCACGAATAAATTTCAACTCGGTTTCGTCGAGAGTGTCTTTGATTTCTTCCACTAGTGCCGCCCTCTGATAAACATTGACCCTGTGTCCAAAAGTTTTCTGACCGGCAGCTATCATTCGTCTAGGCAACTCTAGTTATTTCTTCCTGTAAGAAAAGGCATTGGAAAAAAAACTAAAATCCCCGATTCGAAATCTTTCAGACTCGCGGACAGAAAAGACAGCGGATAAATTGGAATTCCATACCATGTTGACCTTCAAATCCTGCAGTGAGATTTGGCGTAGGAAGTCCGAAAGCCTAAAAAAAGCAAAGTCTGTCTTTGATTTTTCCGTTCGCCTAAATTTAATAAAGTAAAAACTGGAACGGTAGAAGAGAGAGACAATGATTTGAAAGTGAATCAAGTTTTTGAATTATCAGGTCGGCGCGTATCTAAGAAAGTTATAGTGGGGTCCATATATAGGATATAGTTTGATTATGAAGACGCAAGAGTAGGGGCCATTGTGTCTTTTGATTGTGAACAGGTACGCCGAAAAGTGGTCAGAAACGGGCACCTAAATTCATGATTAACTTAGGCCATTTAGTGCAATTATTCAAAAATTAAACTACAGTAGTACTACTATACAATCATTAAATCGAAAAACGTACTATTAAATTTTACAGCTATAAACTTCTAATCAGTTAACAATATTACTAAATTAGTGATGCACAAAGTTTTGTTTTCCTTGTTTGGCTTATGAGTTATAAAGATAGTACTGTACATTGATATTATTTGATATGTAATTTAACCAAGAGTTTTTTTTATGGTAGTTTATCTAGAATAAAAAATTGAAAATTTTGTATCCATATATATTGAATTATAAAAATAAATAAATTTTATCGACAAAAGACAATAAAGAAATTTATTTCCTAGTGAATTTTTGTTTTTTTCATACTAAACTACACAAAATGATGTTATCATATTATTAATTGAGAAGCAAATTGGGCTGTGGTTGAGAGTTATGATGGTTGATTATTTTTTGCCCCTTATGTGAATTTACTTTAATTACCCTTAATAAAATTAACAAATTAATATAATCTAATTTTTAATTGATTTTTGTTTTTTTAAATCTAGATTTCTAAATTCAAATTTATATCATAATAATATACAGTTTACTAAAAAAAAGTAACTAGAATATATAAAAAAAATCCTAATTATTTTATTAAACTAATTTTAGTTTGATTGTTTAACCTACTAATATTTTGACTAACTTAATTGATTTATGTGATCATAAGTAAAACTTTGAATTATTTAAACCCTTTTAAAACTCTATAGATTAATTAGTATTAAGTTGATATGAAACAAAGATCATTTGGTTTTGATCATTTTGGATTGCTATGTTTTTTTTTAATGCAAACTTTGAATTTCATTTATCATAATCTACCAACTTACATCAAAAGAAGAGAATTATTTATCATGTTTGATAAATGCAACAAAACAACAAAGCAGACTTATAAGTTTTTATCGGATAATATAAAAGATATTAAAAAATAAGATACAAATAATATATTTTGCTTTGTCACAAAAAACAATATATTCATAAAAATTATATTTTTCAAATATATTAAGTTTGATTTCAAATTATTATAAAAACTAATTTTTTTATCTATAAATAAACTAATGTTACACTTTTTAAAAAATTTAATCAAACCCCGCACTTATGCGGGAAAATACCTAGTAACCAGTAAAACACATATCACATTATGTTTTAGTCCACTCATGAATATTTTAGATAAAAAAATAATAATTTCAACATATATATTTACGTTCACTTACATTTTGGTTTCAATTCATTCTTCTTACACTAAATCGTAAAAACGACAACATTAATTGAAATAAAATCTTTCAAAGTTAGTGTCTCAAGTCTCAACCACCAAACAAAACTTTATTGGCAGCAACTAATATTATAATAGTAATACTTTCCTCAGTTGAACAAGTTTGTGCGTCTGTTTGCATATAACTGCTTTGCTCATTCCTTTTTGTAACTTTTTCCATTTTCTGTTACGTTTTCGATTTTTTCTGATCTTCCTAACGTTCACATGCGTTGCCGTTGGGCCTACCGATCGTGGGGTCCAAATTTTATGCTTTTCTGGAAAAATATTTCTGGTCGTCTGAGTAAATTGACTAAATTCATTAAAATACAACGAAACAGTTAATGTCATTAGTGTTTCGCTTAATGACAGGTTGTTTCAATATTTTCTTTACTCATTTACTCGATTTTCTCCATGCTCAACTGTCAAAGTGAGAATGAATCGTGTCTTTATTGAATGTGGGTAGAGCCTTTTTATAATACAAAGGGTTTTAGGGTTTTAACCCATTAGAGATCGGAAATAAAGGAAATACAAGATTTGTGTAGATATATATGTAATATTTCCGAATACTCCCCCTCAAGATGGAGCATGGAGCGTGGAGGTCACAAATGTCCATCTTGTGAATAAGATATCTGAATTGATCACGACCAAGTGCTTTAGTGAGAATATCCGCAAGTTGTTCTGATGTGCCGACGTGAGAAGTAGCGATGGTACCAACAATGATTTCATCTCTTATAAAATGATAATCATTTTCAATATGCTTTGTACGCTCATGGAATACGGGGTTTGCAGCAATGTGAAGAGCAGACTTGCTGTCACAGATCAACCTCATGGGAGCTGTATGTGCGATCCCTAATGGTGAGAGAAGTTCTTTTATCCATAAGAGTTCTTGGACAGCAAACGCCATGGACCGATACTCTACTTCTGCTGAAGAGCGAGAGACGCGATCTTGCTTCTTTGTTTTCCAGGATACCGGTGAATCACCAAGAAGAATGACATAACTGCTCAGAGATCGTCGTGTGAGAGGACAGGAGGCCCAATCTGAGTCGCAATACACCGTGACCTGAAGATTTGAGGAAGACGACAATAGCACGCCTTGACCAGGAGATCCTTTAAGATATCTGACTACATGTAGGAGTGCATCCCAATGAGCTTGTCGAGGAGACTTCATGAACTGTGCAAGGATGTGAACAGAGTATCACAATTCAGGGCGAGTGAGGGCAAGGTATACTAGTCGACCAATAAGACGCCGATATTGTGATGGATTGTCGTACAATGGGCCATCGTCAAGAGCTAGGCGATGGTTTTGCTCAATAGGTGTATCCACAGGACGAGATCCGATGAGACCGCATTCATTGATAATGTCAAGACAGTACTTGCGTTGCGAGAGATAGATACCTTCAGGGTTACGAGATACTTCTACGCCCAAAAAGTATTTAAGATGCCCGAGGTCTTTCATCTTGAAACACGTGTGGAGATAGGCTTTGAACTGAGCAATAACAGCTGAGTCGTTTCCTAGGATGACGAGATCGTCAACGTAAATTAGGATATGCAGAACTGTAGAACCACGAACACGAGTGAAGAGAGAGTAGTCTTTCCGGCATTGAACAAAACCATAAGCGAGTAGGGCCTTAGATAGTTTGGAAAACCAGCAACGAGGTGCTTGTCGAAGACCATACAGAGATTTATGTAGCTTGCAAACAAAAGAGGGATTCGAAGGTGCAAAACCAGGAGGCGGTTTCATATACACTTCTTCTTCCAAGTTACCGTGGAGGAAGGCGTTATGGACATCCATCTGATGTGTTTCCCAGTTCTTGGCTGCGGCTACTTCTAGAAGAATACGGATGGTATTCATCTTGACGACAGGAGCAAACGTTTTGTCATAATCAATGCCTTCTTTCTGATGATTTCCCATGACAACTAGACGAGCTTTATTTCGCTCGACGGACCCATCAGCATTGTATTTCTGAACATCAACACATCTATCTCAGTAAGGTGGTTTGCAAAGACCTTATATCGCAAATTTAGTGCTAAGATACCACTTAAAAGTGAAAAATAAGATTGAAAAGCTTGAGTTTTTGTCTCGTTTCATGTTATTTTTCCGTAAACTTTTATTTCCCACACATACAAAATATAAATATGATAACAAAAAGTCTAAATAAAGGGACTTATTATATATTATCGGTGAAGAACCGAGCCTGAACCTTTTCTTCTAAAACCACTAAGGCCTCGGGAGATTTGATGCAGATGGGTGTCTTGTATTGAGTTGAAGAAGCACCTTGAGTGATGAAAAACTCCATGAGAGCATCAAAAGTTCCTTGTTGCACCACCCTTATCTCTAGAGCTCCGATTGATCCGCCTCTCCTATATTCTTTATAACTGTTGTTCAAGGAATCCTCCACCACGTTACAACAGTTGACCAAAACCTTGTTATCAATTTCAGCAATGTCATTGTTGTATTTGCCTTTGAGCTCCCAGTAAAGAACATAGTGACCCGGAGTAGTTGAAATATCAACATAGCTTGTGAAGTCCATCAACATCAAATTTGATGATTCGAGAACCATCTTTGCATGCGTCACCGCATTTAGAAGGTCTTCATCAGTAGTTTTCTCCAAATGAACACTTAGAACCAAATTTCCTCTACGCACAAATCTAAATTGTGGTGCGCTATTGTAAAATCCAGTTACCTCTAAAATGTCACCCATCTTATATCTGTGTAAACCTAGCAAAAACCAAAAAAAAAAAAAAAAAAAACAATATTAATCAATTAGTTGAAACAAGAAGATATATAGACACATTTGTCGCCAAGTATTTAACTTAACTCACCAGAATGATTTGTGACCAAGGGCTCGTAAAGGCACCCTAACTTGACATCCACGAGATCAACAATTTCGAATTTGTCACCGGCATCAACAAGTAGGAACTCAAAATATGACAAGTTGGGCATAAATGTGTATGACACATCTTGCGGTTTGCATAAAGGATTCATGTTAATCCCAAACATAGTTTCAGAAGAAACATAGCTAGATGAAATCAAAGGCAGCTTGTTAGAGTAAAACTCTAACGTTGGAATGTGTTGAGCCATTTGACCAGTTGCAATGCTTTCGATGAATTTGGTTTTAGGCCAAAGTCTTGGGATTATACCTTCCCATGATTTTTTGTTGCATTCCTTCTCTATGAGATCAGCCAATTCAGGGTTTGGTTCTCCAAGGATCTTTGAAACAGAATCTCTACAACTAATATCAGTGATCCACTCGCTAAGACGACCAAAACGGATATTAGCACAAATTTCTTTCCAATTTTTTTCAAGAAATGTGATTGCTCGGACCAAGATAGAGACAAAGGCTGCACCAACCTTCACAACCTCGTCTCTTTGAATGATATCACACAGAAGATGACAGTACAAACTCTGGTTGTTGTCTGAACACAAAATGACTTCGTCAGGACTTGTGTATGACCAATGCCAAAATGGTTGTCGGTTCTTGAAATAATCATTCTTGAAAAAGCTCGTCGTCGCGACTGAAGCTGGCAAACCAGAAGGAGTTGTGTTCTCTTGTTTACAAAAGTTAAACACCATTCCCTTTCCATGCTTGAGACCATCTATATGCCTATGAAACCAAAAGAGACTTCAATCATTAATTTTAAAAATACAATAATGTTTTTATTAAATCAAAAAGAAGCCAGATAAATTTGTTTATCATTACTTGCTTATAACGATCGAGCGGTAATAATAGATGAACTTCAAGTTTTCCAAATACTTGTTGTTACGAGGAACCATCTTCCGTTTTCCTCCCGAAGTTCCAGAACTATAGTCAAAAGACATTAGAGCATTAATTCTAGAGTCTTTCCTCAAGCATCACGTTGATCAATTACTTTTTATACACTTAGAGACATAAAAAAATAAAAATATTAAGAAACATAAAAGTATATACCTTAGAAGGAACCCGGTAATGGGTATGCCAGAAATAACATCAAAGGATTCTCCATTGACGACACGCTCGATAAAAAGCTTCACATCCTCGTAAGTAGCCACAGGAACATTATTCTTAAAAAGCTCTTTATCTGAACCTCCATGCAGAAAACGCCGAAGATACTCGGTGTTTGCGTTAAGTGTGAGTATCTCCTCCAATAAACTGTCTTGTATTTGCTTCACATTGGATGTCAAGTCTTCCAAAATCTTCTCGTCTAATTTGTCGCTGAGATTAGAGCACAAACTCATATTTGGTTGTCTTTTAGTTCACCTAAAATCAAAGAATTGCTAACTTTGGCTCTTTAGCAATAGAATTAATATATTGAGTTGTACTTACGTACAAGTTGATAGTTAGTGAAAACGCTCATGCAATGAATATTGACATTTTATTGATGCCAGTTAAAACAAACAAAAACAAACCTGATTTTGAAATTTGGGTGTCTCGAGAACTCTGATTTAATTCACGTCAATGGCAAAATGCAATCATGGCATGGTCTTCTTATATAATGACGTTCACTATTTCTTTTTTATTTCTTTTTTTTTGTTTAAAAAATTGAGCTTTTCAAGTTTAACATATAGCTTTGACCATCCACATGTCTACCATCTACCAATAAGTTCCTATTTTATAACTTTCCGGGTTTTCATTGTCAAAGAAAATAACAGCCATGTATATTCAAATGTTAATTTTGCAAACCCAAAGTAATATACATAAGCACAAGTGGATTGTTTGTGAATCATGTTCAATGTTTATTGATTCACGTACAAAAAAAAGAAGGCTCAAGCGGTAAAAACGATCTTATTTGTTTTGACTAGATTATATATACCGGTTAGAGATCAGGAAAACGTGTGAAATGGATTCGGAAAATATAGTAAGCCCGAGAGAAGTAGATCTTAGTTTAAACAAGATGCTTTATGTTTGATGCGTGTGAGAGCCTGAGAGAAGCAGAAAATTTTGTTTGTACTATTTTAACCAATTCATCAAGTCCCCATGCACCTACCTATGACCTGTCTTTACGTGGATCGCACGCTTCTCCAACTCAACAGATCACATGTAATCTGAAAACTATGTAGAAAATCTCGGCAATCTTTGGAAAATGGAGCCACACCTCGTTAATCCGGATTCGTACACTTAAAATCAATTTTATGGAGTACTGTCCAATGTTATCTCCTAGATGAACTAATATATAAAATCAAATTCTCTGAATTATATATGTGGGGTTTGACGAGTTTCGGATATCGCTAGGATTTGATTGAAAAAATTGTAATTGTATAATTGTTACTTCATACCAAAGCATGCCTAGCAAAAGTTGTAAAATATTTTCCATATACGCATACCATCACACTATTATATCACAATTCCACAATTGTGGGCATCCTTAATTTTCACCTAAAGATGGATTTTCCACAGACTTAAGATCATGTGCAATGCAAGAAACATTAAAATACCTTTCTTAAATATAAAATATTAATATAATATAATAATATAAATAAATTTTAAATATAAAAGAAAACAAATCAATTATATGATAACATATATCTAGAAAAATTTTAGATCCAGCTCTTAAATGAAAGTTATAAGAGCTGTTTCTTTTTAGATTTTTTACTTTTAAAAAAAAAAAAATTAAGTTAAGATATTTATTAAGAAACCAGCATTAAACATGATCTAATGACATTTAACACAGTAATATAACAAAATATTCTAAACAACCCAGCTGGCGAAATCAATCTAGTGGTTTATTAATGTCGTTGCATCACCATTCAAATATAAACATGCATAATTCTGTGGGTAAGACTAAAAAGAAACAAGTGACAATTGACAAATTAACAATATCAGCAGTAGAATTATCAACACATAAATCTTCCTTACATAAACCGATCTCTAACGAATCAGCATTGCGATATGCTGAGGACAAACACAAATCAAACAACACCGAAACTTTAGAATGATTTTAGCAAAAAAAAAAAACTTTCGAATGATCCTATAAATACAACGGGAATCCAAACACACAAGAAGAAAAGAGAAATTGATTTGGATTTACATACTTTTTTTAAAAAAAGAAACTATTTATTTTATATACATAACTTACAATTACATGTATGATACTTGTGAGAATAACATCGATTCAGTGTCATGTTTTCATTTTCAGCGCTTGTTTTAGTACTGATCTCGCATCTTTACTGGTTTGATCTTTACCCTGAGTCCTCGAAGAATAGGTAATGAGTTTGTTTTAGGATGTTAAGAAGAACTATCGGATTCATTTTCATCCATCTTTATCTCTGATAGCGAATTAGAGTTCTTCTTAAACTGTTTGCACTTTGTAGCTCTTAATCTCTATGAAGTTACCTTGATGCTCGTTTGATTAAAAGCATTCTTTGAGTCATCGACGATAACAACAACTTCTTCCTCTCCCAAGACAACATTAAAACTCTTCTTATATCTCACTGATCATCAGTTCATCACGAGATATGGTATGATCCCGAAAATACTCACCTTTCGGATTTATCAGCTTAGCCATCTCCTGAGTGTAACACATATCGCACATCGTGTATATATACATCACGAACATCTCATTTGCTTCTCTCATAAAGGATCGAACAAAGGGTCTTACTTTCGTCATCAATCCCATAAAATAAGAAGACTGTATCTTACTTTAGAATTGGTTTGGAACTCATCATACGCACAAATTCCAGCACGAAGAGATTACCACCAGAAACATCTGAGATCAACAGAAAATAAAATAGAAAAGTATAGAATAATAAAAGAACAAATATATGACTGAAGTTCTACTGTTCTATGTACAGAGATATCAGCTGATAAACAGCTAAACAATGTAGAATAGAATATATCACCTTGAAGAGAATGTGCCTGGCTTTTCAAGTATTCCTCTTTGGTTTCAGGTCTTTAAGTACGGTTGAATTAAGTTAAGTGTGGCGTAAATTGAGTACTCTCAAGGAAACGTTCAAGTTTTCCTTGAATACAAGTAGTTTTCATGTATTTATTCTCGTTTGTCACGCTTATGGTACTTCCCTCAGACTTGAGCTCTTATGTTTGATCCAGTCTCTCGAAGAACGGACCCATGTCTTCTGAGTCCTCTTTACTCAACAGATCTACCAATGACCTAAACACCACTGGATGCGCCATGGAAAAGTCATATGGGGTGGTGACTTCATCACCGATTATCTGTTTGTGGAGACAAGGGGTGAAAGAGACACTCATACGGAGCTGCCCTAAAAAGGCAATGGCCACCACCTGACCGATGAATTGATATTATTCTGGGTTGATAGGAGAGTTGTGATTGGGCTGATAAACTCGGAATCTTGAATGGCTCGGGCTCTTTTCAATCTTTGTCCTGTGGCACTTCTCAGGCTCCAACGCATCCTTCATTGACCTTGTGACAGTTAGAGAATTTGACAGGAGCTGAAACCACTCCCTAGTGAGTCCACTCGCAAACTTCACTCGTGGGGCGCTTGGTAGCAATGTTGCAAACTGACATTGATTTTAAGTATTCTGGAAGATCTCAGCATATTCGCCTTTCTATGAAAGTTTTCTTTAAATTTTTTTTTATTTATATATATATATATATTTTTTTTTTACTTTTTTACTTTTTCGATTTTATTTTGTTTATTTTTTGCGCGATTTAAAAGTTAGTCTATGTTAATCATAGTAACAATTTGTATAAAGTATGAAGATATTACATAAAATATAGCAATATGTATTCAATTTATGAGGAATCTAATTATTTAAAATTTTCAGTTTCAGAGCTTTGATCAGTATACTCGAAAGAAGAAGAATCTACTCAGTATTGGAATCACAATTCATCGTTGAACTGCTTATTAAATATAGAAAATTGGAGCCATGTGGCGCTAGAGATTACCATGGCCTCTTGTTCAGGTACATAAGGTAGCACCTCCTTCATTTTGAAACGACCAGACCACCTTAGTTTGAGCTTCTCAGGAAATATTTTTAACTTAGAGTTGTACAGCAGCATTTGGTCTCCAGTCTTGAAGTCCTTAGTCACAATCCTCTTGTCATAAAATTCTTTGGTTCTTTCCTTGTAGACCTTTAAGCTCTCATAAACATCCAAGCAAATTTCATGAAGCTCTTTAAGCTTTATCAAGTTCTCTTTTTTAGTAGTCTTGATGTCAAAGTTTAGAAGTTTGACTGTCCATAGAGCCTTGTATCCCAAGTCCATTGGTAAGTGGTATGACTTCCCATATAGAATAGAGATATATAAGATATCAATAAGTGTCTTGAATGTAGTTCAATAGGCTCAAAGTGCATTATCCAATTTTGATGTCATTGAAACCCCAACTGTCTTCTCCAATATAGCCTTGATCTTTTTGTTAGAAACTTCAACCTGATCACTTGTTTGTGGATGGTATGGTGTGACGACTTTATATTTAACTCTATGCGTCTTAAGCAAATTCTCAAAGACTTTGTTGATGAAGTAATCCTCCCATCATTTATTACAACTCTTGGCACTCCAAACTTTGAGAAGATGATGGTTTTTAAGAGGTTAATCACCACATTGGCATCGTTAATAGGACTTGCAATGGTCCCTATCCATTTAGATACATAATCCACATCCACCAATATGTATTTGTTATAATGAGAAAATGGGAAAAGACTCATACGCTATATTTTCCATACATCAAAAACTTCAACTTCAAGAATAAGATTTTCAGACATCTCATCTCTTCTACTTATGTTGTCCTTCCTTTAGCAAGCTTCACATGTAAAGATGTAGATGTGGATATCCTTAAACAAGCTAGGTGATCTTTGATCTTGGTCCTAATGAATTATACTTTTTTACTTACCATTAATGTTTGCCTTATCTTCACGCTTTTTAGGAGAACATTTTTTATGGTTCTTGGAAACTTCAGATTACATCAAGAAAACAAAGAAATGGATTCTTCTTCTTTTATCTCCTTCTCCTGTTCTCCATCTCGTCTATCTTCTTTTTCTTGTATTAGGACATTCTAAAGTCTTTACAAGCTTCCCCACAATGTACGTAGAGACTTTCTCAGCCACATTCAGATCAAAGAAAGGGAATCAGGAACTGAGACAAATGGTTTGAATTAATCCGAGATTTAGTAACACAAGACAGAAACAGTTGTTTCGAGATGAAAGAAGAATTTACAGTTGTAAGAGAAGACGAAGAATGAGAGAATGATCGGGAAAAAAGTTTCTCCGGCATGTTTTTAAGCCTTCATTGTGATCTCTCCCTCCGACACCGTTAAGTTAAACCTCAACGGGTATTTTAAACAACTTTAAAGAAAAATCAAGAACCAAAGAAAGAAAAACTAAACATGCTTTACGTTTGCATCATCATCTTTTCTCTTTCTCCATTCTCTCTGTATAACATTAATCTTCTAACTTCCATATATAATATAATATATATATTAACGTCAGCCATTTTCTGCTTCTTCTACTAACCCATTGATCTCTTCCATGTCACCAATGATTTCAGAAACTCCATCACCTGATAGATGAATTGCAACACAATCAAACTTATTATCAGAATTCATATAACTTATTCATAAGTATTCAATTATGTGATTTGTTAGTTTACCTCAGATGGATCACGAAGCGAGTAAAAGGCATTGCTATCTTTGGGAACAGCAGAGACTAATACACCATAACCATGGTTAGGCCCATCTCGTAATACCTAAACATTACTTGCGCCTTAAGTCAAAACTATTTCTTTAAATGGAATGTTCAGAACTGAGTTTTGGACCGAAATAACAAACCTTAAATGCATCTTCGTCTGTTCGATCATCCCCGACATAGATTGGAAGAACATCCTCACAGTTGTTTAGTCCTGAAAATTGTTTTCATGGTCAATGGCTAAAACCAAGATTCAGAAACAGAACCAGAGGAGGTTAAATGTTTTAACTTTTAAACATACCGAGAGATTCAAGTAGAAATGTCACAGCTTTCCCTTTGTCCCAGTCAATAACCGGACGGATCTCTAAAACCTTTTTAAGCAAACCAAGAAACAAAATCAAAAATCAAAACTTTGAAATTTATGTTGACATATGTAAGAGATTCAGATGTTTTTTTACCTTCCGGCCATGTGTTAGCCGTAGCTTTGGATATGTTCTAATGACCTCATCAACGCACTGTGCAACCAAACTCCAGTTCTGTGAAAAGAAGAGTTTTATTTATTAATAAGAAAGATGTTTTGGTTTAAAGGAAACAAAACAAAACCGGTTATTGAATTTGAGAAAACCAAACCTTTTCTTCTACATTGCGGTAATGCACAGAGATACAGAACTTGTTGTCTTCTACTTTTACACCTTTGATATCCTTTGTACTCTCTATAAGCGAACAAAGCACCTGAGAAGGAAGATAAATTTCAACAAATCGACAATCTTGTTATTACTATAAGCTATACAATTAGAAGATGTAATTTGTGAATATACCTTATCGATCATCGGTAGAAACTCGCTAGCTGGCTGGAACAGATTTACATCTTTCCCCTGAATTGAAATTCGCCAAATATTCACATTTTCAAGAGTCTGATGCATAAAAAACGATATTGCAAGAAAACAAACAATCTAGCAAGAAACTAAACCTGTTCGTTAACTGATACAGTACGGCTATGTTCGTGGTTCAAAGATTCCCCTGCAGGACTCATAATATCCATTCCATGGCTCCCAGCGTAATAAAGCTCACTCAATCTAACAAACTCATATACCTGAAGCAAGAATTGATTATTAGATTATATTAGATCAAACAAGAAACAATCACAAAGTTACTAACACATTAGACCACACAAGAAAATGTTGTCGATGAAGAAGATGAAATGAAGTAAACATTAACCTTATCGCGGCTTCTTCCACTAATGATCGCTGTTGGGAAGTACTTGGCAACGTTTTGCACTGCAGTACGCATCTAAAACATGTAAAAACGGTGAAAACAAGATTATTCACTAGGAGGGTGAAATCACAAATCTTGATTTGTTTAAGCGTTTTGAGTTAAGTGAAAAGAAAAAAACTTACAGCACTTGACATGTAGGCACAGTCAGGTTCCTCAACTATAGGCGAGAGTGTCCCGTCGTAATCAAGAAACAATGCTATTCTTTTGCCTTTTGCAAAACTCATAATCTTCTCAAAAGTAGTTAAAGCTGATGGATACTTGAGCTGCTAAAAACAGGATTTACAAGACAAAAAGATCATCAGATCATAACAACGACGCGATGTTCAGTAAAAAAAGAAGAGAGGACAGTAAGGGACAGAGTCAGACCGTCCATTCGCGGTAAGTCATGTCCGTAGCATCGTTGTCTTTGTTAACTAGTGTCGGAGGAGGAGAAGAAGATTTCATTGCGTCAAGCCAACCATTAGACTTAACGTCATCAAGAATCCCGGTTTTCTTTCTGGGAACGGTTAGCAAAAGATTGTTGTTCTGTGAGAGAGCCGTTGCTGCTGCTGCTGCTGCTGCTGATGAGTAAGGTAGTCTGTTCTGACGAATGGTTAATCTTGAGTTGCTTATTGGTGGAGAATCAGTCATTACAGGAGACGAGTGACCAGATTTTATGTCCATAACAACACCCAAGATATCAACCAAACTATATTAAACCCAAGTTCCTCAATGGATTGTGGATAGAAGAAGCTCTGCGATTTATAATTTTTCTACTCAATGAAGAGTCCTCTTCCTCAGGGACCCTGAAATTCAGATGCCAAGAAACCAGTTAAGACAAAAATAAAAAAAAAGCTACTGAAGTGTGAACAAGAACTTGTTCTGTTGACTCAAGAAATGAAATGTTTTGAAAGCATTCTCTTAAGCTACAAGAGGAAAAACATTGGATACCAGAGAGTTACATATTGGGAGCTTCAAGCTATTCATCAAATGAGAAACAAACAAAAAGGTTTGTCTTTTTTGCTGACAGTTGTTATGAAAAAGGGTAATCAAGAAAACACATTATTCATGAAATGACTTTGTAAACCAAAGGAACAAAATTGGCATTATTTGTCCAAACAGAATTTCTGACTGAGAGAAATCTCAGACCTTTAAGAATTTTTGACCAACATTTGAAGCTCAAGGATAGAGCCAAGAAAAATCAAAAACTACACATTTCAAGCATCAGATACAATTAGATTTCACAAACATATGATTCTACAAATTAACTACTGTTGTAAAAATTACAATTCAGAAAAAGAGGTAAAAAAGACACATTGAAAGGAAAAACAGATACATATACATACAAAAACTGAAAACCAATATTGCCACTCATTCATATACACATCAGAGAATTTGTATGGGTTCGAAGAAAACATTAAATTTTACCCAAGTTTGATAACACACTTGCAGGATATAGACAATTAAAAACATGTTAGACCCACCACTATTCAAATGTATTGCGCGCAAAGCTTGACAAATCATTGTCACTCTCCAATAAAATCCACAAACAAAACAAAGTACCAATTTTTCAAAAAACCCAGAAGAAAAAATCCGTTTTTTTAACATCCCTAACTTCTTAAAAACGAATCCGAGCTCAGAGAGGGAAACACACAGAAGGAAGAAATTGTTAAATGTCTAATTTGTGCCACACAAAAAGAAAAGACGAACCTTGTGAAAAAAATGCAGATACAAAACTGAAAGCGGAAACGACGGGAAGAGGAAGAAGAAGTTTTTTTTTTTCTTGCGGTTTCTCGGCAATCAAATAAGGGACACAGAAAATAAATGGGAAGGAGGAAGAAAAAACAAAAAGATTTGCCAAAAGACGACTGTAAATGTCTCTTTAAGTGCCCGAGAAAATCGCAGAAACTATATACCCCAAAAATAAATAAGTCCAAAATTTTACTCTTTATTTTTTTCAAATTTAGCTATTAAATAAATAAATAAACTCTGAGAAGGTAAAAACTAAAAACAGAAGGAAATCGACATTTTTTTGGTAATTATCGAAACAAAAACTAATAAAATGAAACTTTTTTTTTATTTCGTGTTTAAAACCATCTCCCGACGGTTGTTGTTGACTCGCCAGAAAATTTTGAACAAATAGGTGACGTGTCCATGTTAACACGCAACCAATGAAACAGCGCGTGAGTAAAAGTAAGATGTATGGCGCGTGGAATTACGCCGTGATTATTTAAAAAAGTGTTTCCTCGCACGGTGGGTTGTTGTTAGGAGTGAACAAAATATCCGTTATATCCGTTTCGAACTGATATTTGCTTTGATCCGATTCAAAAAATCTGGATATCCGTAAAGTTTCGGAGCAAAACAAATAGCAAAATATAATATCTGTACAAAATGGAGCAAATCACAAATATGTTTTTAGATAACGTCGGATATCCGATCCGATCCGTATCTTTATAAATTTATTATATATTATCATGTATATATCAATTATATTTATTAATATATTCTCAATTTTCTTCTTAAATTTTTAATTGTTCATTTGATTATATAAAATAAATGACTAAATAACCAATTATAAAAAATAAATAATATGTTTAAACTTAAAATATGTTAATAAATAACATTTTATTTAATATTAGTAAATAAATATCAACAAAAGTTTTTTCGTAAAGTTTAATATTAAAGTTTCAAATAACTAATATTATTTTTAAATATAAAATATCATTTTTTCGTCATCTTAATTTTGTAGGTTTATTTTTTATAGATTTTTTTATAAAATAAAATATTTTCTTTTAGTTATTTTCACTTAATAGTTTAGATGAAAAATATTTTTATATAATAAAAATTGATGTACTTTCAGTTTTGTGTATATTAAACGAATCAAACTAAATATTTATAAATATCTGTAAATATCCGCAAATATCCATAAATATTTGTAAATTTTCTGGATATCCGAAAATTCAGATATCCGTATATTTTCAGAGCAAATCAAATCATAAAATTAAATATCTGTTAAAAATAGAGCAAACCAGAAATACTAAAAAATTTCCGGATATTTGATCCGCGTCCACTCCTAGTTGTTGTTACTTAACAACTCGATTGCTAATTAATTAAATTAGTGTGGTTAATAATAGTTCCAAAAAAACCGCCGATCACATTGGGGGGCCCATATTTAAACTACGGCGATAGACACGTGGCAGCTGGTTTTCAAGGTTTTACGAGCCGGGGATTAGTCGAGTCAGGTCTGACGTGGATAAGTCGAATGGTGGGTCCCTCCATGGTGAGATGGCTGGCTTGGTGCGGTCGCTCTCGGACACAGCTGGTGAGTGGTGAGGTCGGTGACGGTTTTTTTAATTTTTTAAATTTTAACAAAATCATTTTCACGGCTCAGTTCCAAAAAACAGGAGGGACCTCTCGTGGAGTCGACATGGGCTCCACGTGACCAATGTAAAACTTCAACCATAGGATTTGCTTACGTGGCACAAAGTTGTGGCTTGTTACAAATTATCCCATTTTTTAATGATTTTACTTGCTTTTTCTTCTTCTTACGTTCTTATGATTTTTTTTACTACTCAGGGAACGATTATGAGCATTTATAAAAACATACTCACTCCTCAGGTTTCACATTTTTAATTTAAAATTTGGTTTCCACTGTTTCAACTAACACTAAAAGCTTCTTTTTCTTTTTTATTTCCCCACCAATTTTTAACTAACATTTTTCATGTCATGTTTTTTGTAACTTTCTAGTAGCGCAACAGTATTGTAAATAAGTCAATAATATGCAAACACTACGTCAGTGTCAAATAAACAAATTAGTCCAAATCGAAATGAGCTGGTCACAATATTTTAATAAACCAGCACTAAATTATCAATGATGGAGATAGCATTGAGTTTAAGCATACCCAATTTAACCATTCTTACCGTATAAAGTATAAACAGAACAAATTGTTACATATGTGTTACGATTATGATACTTTCCTATTTCTATATATATATAGCAATATTCGTATATAGTTTTAGCATCTCAATATAATACCTAATCGTTGTAACTTATATATACTTGACATCTTATATCAATACGATCAAGGAATTCTCTTAAACTTGGTATGGTATCAGAGCCCGCTAATAACCTAAAATCAAACACAAAATTTTTCCTTCCTTCAATCTCTCTAAGCGATCTATTCAAACTTCAACATCATGACTAAACCAGTCGAAGTATCTAACTCTACTACTCATGAAAAGAATGCAATCTCAGCATCTCCTTACTATCTACATCCATCGGATCATCCTCATCATGTTTTTACACCAATGCTGTTAAATGGTGAAAACTATGAACGTTAGACGAAGCTTACTCGCATCAACTTGTAGGCCAAGCATAAACTGGGCTTCATCGATGGCACGCTCCAAAAGCCTTCCTCTGATACTCTTGACTATCTTCGTTGGCTGCAAACGAACTCTATGTTGGTTGGCTGGTTGTACGCAAGTCTTGACCCACAGGTGCAGAAATCAATCTCTGTCGTTGATAATGCAAAAGTCATGTGGAAAAATCTCCGAAATCGTTTCTCCGTAGGAAACGCTTCTCGTGTGCATCAACTCAAAGCAGATCTAGTTGCTTGTCGTCAAAGTGGCCAGGCTGTAGCTGATTACTTTGGCAAACTAAAGGTGATGTGGGACGATCTGGATGATTATGAACCGCTTCTCACTTGCTGCTGTGACAGATCTGATTGTCCTCATATGCTTCGTCAGATTCAGCGACGTGATCATGAAAGGATTCATCAATTTCTTATGGGACTAGATGCAGCAAAATTTGGCACCACTCGCACAAACATTCTTGGCCATTTAAGTCGCGACTCTGGCCTTAATCTCGACAACATCTACTCTGAGATAGTTGCAGAGGAGCAGCATCTAACGGTCGTGAGAAGCAAAGAAGAACGTGTGGATGCAGTTGGATTTGCTGTTCAAACTAGAGTTAACGCAATTGCCGCGGTTACTCGCGTTAACAATCTCGGACCATGCACTCACTGTGGGTGATCTAATCACAGTGTTGATACATGTTTCAAACTACATGGTACTCCCGAATGGTACACTGAGAAGTATGGTGATGCTGGAACAAGTCGTGGTCGTGGCCGCAGTAACACGACTCGTGGCAGAGGCAGAGGACGTGGTTCTCCATATCGTGTGAACAATGCTCGAGCCTCTGATTTCCCCGACATCCCAGGAGTAAGCAAGGAGGCATGGTCAGCAATTGTCAACCTCTTAAAACCTGACAATGCATCTACATCCGAAAAACTCTCCGGTAAGTCAACTTGTGTTGATTTTCTTCTCGATTCTGGAGCTTCTCATCACATGACCAGTTATTTAGATTTGCTTACTGATATATATGAGATCCCTCATAGTATGGTCGTTCTACCAAATTCTAAACACACTATTGCTACTAAAGAAGGGACACTGATTCTCGGAGACACTATGAAACTCACTCGTGTTCTGTTTGTGCCTGATCTCTCCTGCACACTCATCTCTGTTGCTCGTCTGTTACGTGAGCTGCACTGCTTTGCAATGTTCACTGACAAGGTTTGCGTGATACAGGACCTTACTTCGAAGACGCTGATTGGAGTCGGTAAGGAAATGAACGGGGTGTATCATCTTCAAGGGACAGTCTCAGCTCGTGCTAATGTAGCGAAGCG